AGAAGTCTTCCTCCTTTAAAGTCTGCCCCGAAGAAGCCACTTCCTACCCTACCGCAAAGACGGTGACAGGACCTAAAAGGCGCCCCCACCCCGCTCCCTTCTTCCCGTTTTTTTGCAGAGGGAAGCCCATGCGCACTCGGGCGGGCGCAAAAAGAAAAAAAAAAGGCAAGCCGCGCCATCACGTGCCCTCAAGAGACTCTTCGCCGCCCGCCCGCCCGCCCGACTGACTCGCTTTGAAAGGCCGTGACGTCGCCTCCCGCCCTTCCTAGCTTAGCTCGCTCGCTCGGCCGGCAGAGGTTGGGCTTCTTCCACAGCCCTTTTGCGCTGCCGGAGTCCGGGAGGCTCGTGCTCGCCCCGGCCGCCCCGCCCTCTTGGCTCGGACCTCGCGCTGGCGCGGCTCTCCGGCTTCTCGTCTCGAGCCGGCTAGGGCGAGCCGGGGAGGTTGTCGTCTCAGCTGCCGCCGCCGCCGCCTCCCGCGTTTTGCAAGGCTGGGCGCGGAGGCGGTAGGTAGCTTTGCTCTGGTTTGTTTTGACGCCTCCGGGAGGGGAGGGAGAAGGGAAAGGGGGGGGGGCTTGGGGCACCCCGTGGCTCGCTGAGGATCCCCCGGGGCTGGGTGGTGGGGACGTAAAGCGAGGCGATTCTGCCCTTTTCGCGCTAGGGCCATCCCGCCAGCAAAGCAGCCCCGTGGCCTTTCTGGAGGATTTCTTTGGTTGCATCTCCCAGAGCGCCCACGAGAGAGGTAACGGGTCGGGGGGCTGGGTGGGTGGGTGGAGGAAGAGGAGGAGGCATTTGGGGGAAATCTCAGAAAAAACAACAAAAAAAAACCAGCCGTCTCCTGGCTGGGACGGAGCGCAGGACAAAGAGGTTAGTTGTCCCGTGGCTGGGCCAGTTGTCGTTCATGCGCATAGCAACGCGGGGTTTGGGCGAAGGAGGGGTCGCAACCTGCGGTGACTCTGCCTTCCCTCCCTCCACCCACCCCACCCCAAGTTGCAGAGGGAGGGAAAACGGCTTCTTCCTCCAACGCTTGTTGAATGCGGCGCACCCCGGAGTCGGGGGATCGGTCTTCTCGCGAGGAGGGTGCAAGAAGCGGAGCTTGTCCTGCCTGCTAAGAAGCCCTGTGGGGGGAGGAAAAAAAAACAAACACTCTCGGTGGGGATCCTCTGGCTCTGTAGCCGGGCTGCAAGGTGGAAAGGTCTGGCATCCCCACGACGCCTGCAGAAACTAGGAATGTGCACGGGCAGCCACTAGAAATATAAGACAACCCCGCCGTGCCTTCTAAGGAGAGAAAAGTTATTTCGGTAGACGAGAAGCGGGAGAAGAAAACCAAAGGCAGCAGGAACAAGAGGTCTTTGTTGCAATTGAATCGAGGGATGCTGCAGGTTGCAAAACAACCACCCCCCACCCTTGGACGAGAAAGTCCTTGAGTTTTCCTAGCTGACAGAGGGCAAGTAAAGTCAAATTCTGTTGTTACGTGGAGGTCAAACGTGGAATGGTGGCGATGACCTTGGTTGACTTTTATCGATCAATCTGGAGTGAGGCTTTTAAGCAGTAGAAGGGGCTGTGGTGGGAAGAGGGCGGAAAGGACGACTTAGGGATTCTTCAACAACTTTTGGGTTTAGGGAGTCACAGCCTTTAAAGTTTTGAGAGAAATGCCGGAGGGAGGGTGGCCATTACATACATTAGGACCTCTTTTGAAGTCTTGCTTTAATGAATGCTGTCTGTGAATCTGTCTTGACTTCAAAAGGGGCACAACTCTCAAAAGGTCTTGGAAGATGTTGAAAGGTTTTAGTTGGGCTTAATACTTTGGTGGATGCCTTTGTAGAGGTGTGAGTTTGTCTTGGATTGAATGCAGGTACTTCTCTGGTATTCAGATCTAGTGCAGACAGCCCTGTACCCCTATAAAATAGGAAAAGGAAATATGTGTACTATCAGAAATTCAAACCAGGAAAGTATAATAGGGTGTATTTCTGCCAGTAATTCTTAGTGGATGAATAGGGATTAGTGATATAAAAATTTACACTAATTGCTGTCTCCATTAACTGCAATGTTCAGTACTGACTGAAAGACTGCTTTAAAAATCCACATACCGGGTGTATATGGCAGGATTGTACAGCATATGAATGAAGAAAACTTTTTTTTAAAAGTTGTCCTAAAACCTTTAGACAGTCATTGTGAGATCTACTTATCAACTTTTTAAAAATACTGTTCAAAAATTCATGAAGATGAGCTTTAGATGGTATTCTTAACTGGGAGTAAGCTTTTGAAACAGAATGCTTTACGTACGTATTCAGACCCCATACATGGAAGACTAATTCTAAATTTGCAAATGCATTCCAAATAACTCCAAAAAACAATGATAGAATCGTGTTTTTTTTTAAAGAAAACATTAAAGCAGGTTGAAAGCTTCTGTTTCAAGCTTCTGTTTAAAACATAGGAGGACTTGAATCAGATTGGACAGTGACTGCAAACTGTGTAAGTTAAAAGTTCACAAGCTAAGGCAGCTTTTACAAATCAATGAATGAACTTGACACCAGTTGGAGATTGACAGGAACTGTATCCAATCATCTATGCTTAGGCAGATTATGCACATCCTTGTCTTTAGCCTCCGTCCAGTGGAGTTTCCTTTGAATGAAGAATTCAGCTTCCTGCATTTGCTGAAGATTTGGTAATGCCTCGTTAGTCAGGGCACTAATGTAGGTTATTGATTTAAGAGAATTCTTTTATCTGCCAGCATGTTACCCTTTTAGGGCATAGAGGACCACAAATGATGTTAATTTTCTCTTTGCTGGAAAGAATATGTGTTCTGAATGTGTGAGTACGTGGCAGAAGTGTTTCTCAGTGTTAGTGTTTTCTATTTATAGCAGTTTCCTTAGAAACTGTTCATGTTGGTGTTGGAAGTGGTTATACATATATTTCTAGTTGAAATACTATTACTGTATCTCATTGGATAGCTATATAATAAGAGCCAGGTTACAGTGAACTTGTTTTTTAAATGAACATGTTGTCTATGATTTGATTTTTTTGAAACCTTAGAATAATCATGCATTTTCAATGCTCAAGTATTTTTAGTAGGATTTTTAAGTAAATTTGGAAATAGATGTGGTTGGTGCATGTTGTATTTTGCTAAATAGGCAGTAGTTGTTGATATATGTTACCCCAAAAGCAAAACTTTTATTCACTATTGTGCTGGCTTTTTATTGCTTGAATTACTTGTGGATATGAATACACTGGAATGCTAGACTCCACTTTTAAATATTTTGAATGTTCTTATTTTTGATTTATGTGCTAACCATTCTGACAATGAAGATTATAATTACTATATTATAAAATGCTTGCATTGGCAGTCGTATAAACATACTTTAGAATAGCTCAGGGGTCTGCAACTTTAAATACTCAAAGAGCCATTTGGGACATTTCCCACAGAAAAGAAAACACGGGGAGCCGATAATTTAACAACTGGTGTGACTGGGTGGGTATGGCCAACTCGATGTCACTCACTCCCACCCAATCACCTCCTGCTCTTGAATATTGAACAAGTTTCTATCCTCTGCCATCTCCCTTACCTTCTCAGGCCAGGCGAGGAGTGACGGGGAGGGGAGGTGCCAGCAAGTGGTGGGATCAGCTGACAGGGAACTGCAGCAGAGGACCGAAAGAGCCGCATGTGGCTCTAGAGCCACAAGTTGCAGACTCCTGGAATAGCTCAACAGATCTGTGCCATTGGCTACCAGCAATGTACAGTTTGTGTTTTTTTTTTTAAATTCTTCCTTGTTTGTCAGTCTTCGTTTTCATGGTTGTAATTTGTTTAATCTTGCTAACTTTACTGTCAATATTTTAGGTTATATGCAGTCCAAGTAGATAACCACAAATACATAGCTGAAGGTTAATAAAGGGATGAAATTTTATCCATTTCCTAACAGAGATAATGTAATGACGAAGCAGTCGAGTTGTTTGATCATGAACAACTGAATCATGATGATCTTTATTGGAGTCTAGTCTTGCATTTATACACATTTTTAGTTATCCTCCATCACTGGTTAACTTTGGTTACTGCTTAACTTTCGTTACTGTTTAGCACAGTAATCCATACAATTAATTATCTCTAGTTAAAGTCTAACATATGTTTACTTCCTCTCTCTAATCCTCCTTTAGATTAGTGACTTTGTTTATCTGAATTGTATTTGCTTGGAAACATTCTTTATCTGAGGTTTGCCATCCGAGATTGGAACATTCCTGCAATTACTACTCTACAAGATAAATACACAGTTTATTATACAATGTTACTAGTTGATAATGTGGCATTCCATTTTATCCATACTGTATTTATTCATTGCAACTAAACCAACTAGTACTATTGTGATACTTTAAATTATTGCACTTGCTTTTCAGGAGCAGCTGTTTGTAATTTAACTACAAAAATCCAGTCCTAATCTCTGAGATAGTACAACTTCAACACATATACATATATTTAAATTATCATGAATCACACTTGGTTTCTCTTACAGAAAATTAGGAGGAAATTTCAAAGGGCTTTTTCCTACTTCTATTTGACAATGTTACTTTGAACTCTGTACTTTGTACTTGAAGAATATGGCCTCTATCAACTCTCCTATTGAAATTAGATGGAATTTCAGCTACATAATTGTGTATATATTAGCTTAAAATTTAACATTGCATCAAAGTCATGATGAAATGCAGTCTTTGTTGTGCTTTGGCAGTGATGTTCTGTACACTTTCTTCAGGTGTGTGTTTAAAACAGTTACTAAATCCCACGTGTTAATGGAGAAAAGATCATTTATTTGTCTTGCAAAATTTGTCAAACAAATTTTAAAATCCAAGTCTATTTTGTAACCTTTACCTGGGCTTCTTTTCAACAATGACACATAGTTTTTAAGTTTCATGTGTTATTATTTGCTAAATTAAAAATGTGTTTTTTTTTTAAATACAGCAGGGCAGCTGTGCGGCTTCCTAACGTGTGATCTCACTTGCTGGATTTGGGCAACATGGCAGGCATCTTGCGTACAGTTGTTAGTAATTTCTCTGTTCCCCTTTTCAACAATGTGATATGTCACAAGGTGAAGACGCCAAGGGTGCGGACATTCCTTACCCACCAGGTTCTCTGGTGTAAAGCAGCCATCAAACCAGGTTTGTATAAACTAGTTCACAATATTTCAGTTCAATTCTATTTGGTGTTAAAATGTATAAAGGCCAATCCCAATATGGTTTTCTGGTCTCCCAGCATTTATTACGCTAATAATATCAGAAAAAGAATCTAGGATTCAGCTGTATTTTACAGGAATCATAGTTCCTTATCTAAAGATAAGCAGCAGACTTTGGCTACGTTCGAATAGAGTTTTTGAAACTTGTTTCACTCATTCCACCAGAGGAATAAAATGTCAAAGGCCTAGACATTTACACCTTAAAGAGAAAGACAGCATAATATTTCTTTGTTCCATTTTTAGAAGCCAACTGTAGAAGTTTATATAGTATCACACCTTTATTATTTTTACAAATAACTCAAGGCAGTGAACATATCCAACATACCTTCCTCCTCCTATTTTCCACACAACAACAACCCTGTGAGGTGGGTTGGACTGAGAATGACTGACCCAAGATCATCCAGTTGGCTTTCGTGGCTAAGATGAGACCTGAACTCAGTTGAATAACAGGCATTAGTAATTGGCAGCGCACCATATCTCAGAAAGCTACCTTGGAGCAAAGGTGGGCAATTAATTTTCCCAAGGGGCCATGAGAAATTGGGACTCTTGTGGAGGGCCATACCAATAGGGCTGTGAAGGTCCATAGCTGTGCATGCATGCATATACATGAATTGAAAATGGTCTCCTTCAAAATAGAAGCAATGCAGTTGGACTGTGTGTATGGTGTACATTTATGTCTGATTTCTAATTTCTGACTGACTTCATACAGGCTGGACAGGGACAGGCTAAGGGCCAGATATGGCCCCAGGCTCTCAAATGCCTAAGTCTGGCTTGGTAGTGACCAGGGGTGGAATTCAAATTTTTTAACAACCGGTTCTGTGGGCGTGGCTTAATTGATGGGTGTGGCTTGGTGGTCATGTTATTGGCTGGGTGTGGCCAACTCAATATCACTCACATCGGGGCATGCATCTCCTTGCCTGGCCTCTCATGACTGTGGGGATGCTGCAACAGTCGTAAGTGTGAAAAACGGTCATAAGTCATTTTTTTCAGTGCCATTGTAACTTTGAATGGTCACTCCACACAAACAAAGTACCGGCAAAAGAGGGGAAAAAAACTCCAGAGAAGTTCCTGAGACAGGAAGTCTAGTCCTGCCAAGAATATAATAAGGGTTAATGGAGAGGCAGTTTCTATAAGCAACACCAGAATGTTTCCTTTCTGCCTTCCTTACAGGTTTAGGCCAGTCATTTCTAACAACCAATTGTCCGAACTGCTTAGAATGTTAACAACCGATTCTAGCGAATAGGTGTGAACTGGTAGAATCCCACCCCTGGTAGTGACGTACTTTCAGAGGGATACAAAACAGTGCATTTCAGAATTAGCATGAAGAACTTATTCAAGAGCCCCAGTTCATATTAATGTATGTCCTTCAGATGCTCTTTGTACTAGATTAGCTCTTGTTCTTTGATTGTAACAACTAATACTTTGTTAACAAAGACAATAATTCTCCTTGAAAGTATGGAATTGTGCTTTAGAAATGTCCTTGTAAATTAACTAATCCGTTAGTTATCCACTTATCTGGAACAGTTCTTAGATGAGTGGGTTGTTAGATATATTACACAATGCAGTCTTATTACAAACTGGAGAAACAATAGATAGACTGATAAGACTATCTCCTGAATTAATGTAATGGGTATGTGTCAGTGCATGTTTTATAATTTAGTCTGCCGTGGCAGAATTTCACAGAGCACATTTTTCTACACATGTGTTTTGAAATGATTTACACAGTTTGGCATGGGATCTAGAAAAGCATTCATTCTTTTTTCTCATTTTGTTGCTTCCCCAATGTATTATACTAGATGTATTGCAACTGTAGCTCTCACTGTTTGCTTGTGATTCAAAGAGAAATGGCACCATAGGTAGCCCTCGATTTAAAAGCATTCATTTACCGACTATTTGAAGTTACAACAGCACTGGAAAAGAGATGCTGGTCTTCTCATTTATGATGGTTGCAGCATCCCAAGGTCATGTGAATGCCTTCCCAGCTGGCATCTTTCAAGAAAAGTCAACGGGGGAAGCATGATTCAAATAACCATGTCAAAAATCATAAAATTGGGCATCATTCACTTAACCATGTCGATTAGTAACAGAAATTCTAGTCTAAATTGTGATCATATTTTTAGGACTACCTGTACAATCAACACGTGTGGCTTTGACTTTTGTCCCGTCCCTATTTTGCAATAGGAAGTATGACACTTTTGTATCTATGTACTACTATGTTCTGCAAATTCTCTTACAGCATTTGAATAGACTCTTAATGAAACAGTATAGGGATATACTGATATATCCAGTCTGAATGCACATATGAAAAAGAATGTACTATTCTTATTATTGTGTTATTTTCTGAGATAGCAAATTAGAAGGAATGGTGAAAGCTGTCTTGAATGGGGAGGATTGCCCCATTCTGTAAAAACTTCATGCTAACTAAATTGCAAGCTGTCAACATGTTTATTAAATCAGTGATGCCTTAAGAGATTACATTTTTTTCCAATACAGAATGTGTTCAGTTATGTACTAAGAAATCTTTCCTTGGTATTTTTAAAATAATAGTAGCTCCATATGAAATATACAGCTTCATACGTTTTGGAAAACTATTCCAAATATGGATAAGACTTGATTATGTGACTGCAAAGAGCCTGCTTTTAAGAATCTTATAAGTGGGACAAAAAAATTACAGTCCTACCTATCAACATTTTTGGAGAATTTATGGGAGTTTTGCAAACTTTACAAAGTTAAAAGCATATTAGTGAACATTTTATATTTTATTTGAGAAATGTGAGTTTCTTGAACACTATGATACTGTATGAAAGTGAAGTTTATGTAAATAAATGTATGTGTTGTGACTATATAACTTATTACTTGTCCAAATACACTTCTAAATACTGGAATGCTGTATCTTGCTGTCAGTTTTCTTCAAACCAGATATATATTTGATTATTTTTGATAGTCCAATATTGATATCGGGTTTGGTGGCTATATATATGGTATTCAGCTTTGTTCGGGTATTTTCCCTCGTCATTGTAGTTGTTTATTATACAGGTATAATGACGTGGGAAAATATCTGAACAAAGCTGAATACCATACATATAAATACCCACAAAAACTTAAGAAAACAAATACACACACACACACACACACACACACACTTATACCTGTTATTTAATACTTGCTTGACAAATAAATCAAATAAATAAAACTAAGGAATTTTGGAGTTGGGCTGGGTAACTTTTATGTGGCCAAAAGTCATTGATTTAGGTTTTTTAGACTGAAAAATCTTTTTTTCAGTCAGTAAGAAAGATTTTGCTTTGGCCATGGTGACAAAACCAAAACTTGTCCCACTGAAATTTTGAAGCCTCTGTTAATGTGTATTTGCATAGACCTGTGTGTTTGGTTAATCCATGGGATTAAAGGATAGTGATAAGTACTTGAATTTTATAGAACTTCACCTTTGTATTTTGCCTCAGTATAAAATGGATATGAAATAATTCTATGAGTAAATCAGTTGATTTGCCATAAGTTGGCAACATAACCTAGGAATACAAGGAGAAGAAAATTGTGGTAGTTCTTATGCAGTCTGCAAAAAAATGAGATCTCCCCTCCCCCAAACTGAGACTGGTGATGTTTTCTGCAGAAAATAATGCTGAGAAATCTTGGCACACTGATAAAGAGTGTTCCTAAAAATGATGTTTTAATGAAAAACGAAAGAATTCGGAAGAAACCATATTACTGAAGAGTCAGGATGTTTTCCTAGGTAGTTATAGTGCATTGAGGAGTGCAACATGTAGTCCTAAAAAAAGCTGAGCTGGGAAATTGTTGAGGTAGAATTTGGTATTGAGTACCAGCGGGTAAATACAGAATTCCAGAAAAAGACTAAGCAAAGCCCACTTTTAATTACTCCATACAAAATTTTATAACTATAATAGCAGCTTCAGTCATTGGAGCATATTTGCTTTGTAAAAGAAAATTGTTTTTTTTTTTTTTTTTGGAAGATATTCTGTAGCCAGAAAAAAATGGGTGGTATTTTCTTCTGATTAAATCATTGAAAGACATGTTTATACACATACTTAGAATGCCTGGAAGCATACCGGTCTTGAAATTTGGCACATGGCTTTATGACTTGGAGAATAAAATGAAAGTGACAGTTAATGGTATACTAGTGTTTTGAAATGGATCCTCTGCTGCTTCCTCTTTTTTTAGTAAAAAAAAATGGAGAAACCCAGGATTTTCAGTAATTTAATGGTGCAAGAAGTATTGATACTTCATTTTTGCCAATGGCTAATATGAAAAGTTAACGATCAAGAAAGTGAATTATCCACACACTCAAAAACCCCTTTTACACTGAAAGTTTAATTTAGAATTAATTACCTTTTATGCTAAAAAGTTTAATTCAGAATTTTGAGAGCATTTGGTGGGTACAGGTTATCCTCAACTTACGATCACAATTGGGATTGCAACTTCCATCACTAAGCAATGGGGTTAAGATTTTATTATTTTTTTACCATGGTCTTTAAGTGAATCACACAGTTGTTAAGCAAATCTGGCTTCCCATATTGACTTTGCTTGTTGGAAGCCCTCCGGGAAGACTGTAATGGCAACCACGTGAACTCAGGATGTGGCAGTTGTTGTAAATAAATGCTGATTGCCAAGTGCCTGAATTTTGGTCACATGATTGGGGATGCCACAGTGGTTGTAAATGTAAGGACTGGTCATAAGACACTTGACAACACTCTTATAACTTCTAATATTTAATAAATGTTTGGCAGTCTAGGACTACCTTGTACAGTCACAAAATTACTTCTTGGAAGACTTTGAGGTTTTAAATTAGATCTCATGAATTTTTTCTCCTGTTCCATTGCTCCTGCTAGTCCTCAGTTTTCCTACTTAGCAACAGAAATTTTGGGTTCTACTGTGAGTTGAATCAGAAAAAAA